TTTTTATACTTTAATGTTGCTTAATTTTTACTATGTTTACTAAAAACATCAATTAAAGAACAGAAAAAGTCACACAGGTTTCCCGGCTGCAAGTTATTTTCATTTTTCAAGAGTAAGAAATGCAATTACTTATTCAATATTCAAATGTCTTCAATTTATATAGTTTGAAAAGTTTTAAAATTATTCAACCTTTTATTATTTAATATAGGACTTATTATTAATTTATTTTTGCTAATGTATATTAAAGAAGTAAATATATTAGTTAGTTAATTAATTAGCTAGTTATTCATTTGGTGATTTTTTTAGATTGATTGGCTGTCCAACTGTGTATGCTGATCTAAACAGCATACATGAAAAAATACAAAGTACAATAATATCAAATTACTATGTAAGTCAATAATATTGACAAAAACTACCAAACAAAGTGAAATACAAATCATATAGAATTGGACCTATCAATACACATGCAATCTCCCAAGATGGGTTTATCTATCATTCATGCCCAATGCAAAGAAATTTTAAAAACTTTCTGAATGTCAGAGAAGAAAGGTTCTGAAGGGTAGACACTGCAGTACAGTTGACATATCTTCTAGTCCAACTGGATGACATTTCTTTAGAAAGGGAACTCTAGCATGCTACCTTGTTAAAATGGATGGCTGGGAGAGTAACTGTAGACAGGTTGATGTCATGTAGGAAATATACCTGGAAGCCTAGTCATACCACGGCATTCTTAACCAATCATACCTTCCAGATTCAAGGGTAATCTCTCTAATGTATTTTAATAGTTGAACCAGCTGGGTCTCAATCATAAGTTACTACAAGAACAGCTCTCAATTCAGGGATAAATGTAACTGGCATATATGCTAGAATAATGCCAAGCCCTTCGTGGCCAATATTTCTCAAGCAGGAGTTGAGCATTCATGACGATTCCCAAACTGTTCACCACCCTCACCAAATTCTGGATATGAGAGTGCCATCTGTTCCAGAAGCAGAGTATCTCTCCATTCATGGATGTGAGGGTCCCAAATACCCAGCACTTATCCATTTATATATCCCTTCAATTATCTACTTAACTACGATTGAGTCAAAGTCTGTTCTTACTCATCTATGTCCCTATAACCTACTATGATGGAGTAGAATATTCCTTCTTATAACAGCTTGGTTTGTGCCAAGGTGGAACTAGAACTCAGAGTTTCCTGATTTTTAGCCTGATACCTTAACTAACACACCAAAGTAGCTTTCTTTAGTGTAACTTTTTTTTAGATTTTCAGAAGTCCTTAATAACTGATATTTTTAAATGTGCAAGGAAAAGCAACTTTGAATTATGGATCCTACATTGGTACTATGCATTAATATAGTTATCCAATATGTAGAACAATTATAAGCAGTGGTGGTCTTTAAATAATTTAACAACTGGTTGTCTGCCCTAATGACCATCTGGGTGGCATGACGAGGGGGCATGACAACACTCAGCCTCCTGCAACACGCTGCCAGTCAAAACGGGGCATGGAGATTAATTACAAAATGTGGCTTTGCTTTGTGACATCCAAATCCAGTGAGCAAGGGGTGTGAATTGCAGAGAAAACACACTTTTGTCTGGTTATAAAGAAATATCCCCAAAGTCAGATGTACGCTAAATGTAGACTGCGTTTTAGCTGCCCACCTCCCCAGCAAACAGCAAATTTTGAAGCTCCAGGTAAAGAAGATTCATTTTAGGATGAGTAACTACAGTTTGCATGTTGGAGGTTCCTTAAAGGAATGCTGCAAAACTGTATTTTAAAGAACATTTGAGGGAGGGCTGCAGAATAGCCCTTCTCTGCCTGAGGCTGTAGAGACCCGGCACCAAGCAAACACTTTTTGTGAAGCAACTGATCAACACTGACAGGGTATATAAAAATAAGAGCAAACTCCACTCCCTTCTAGTACTGATGATGTTACCTAGTTTGGTAATGAAACATCTGCAAGAAAACCATCAAGCTCAGAGAGAACCAAGGAACCCACAGTTCAACCCTGAGCTACAAATATTCTCTTCTATCGATAAACACTCTTTAGTTAGATGGACTCAGAGCATGCATTATATGAGATGGTTCCCAATTAATTTCATTCTAAGTTTTGATATGATTTCTGTAAATATATGGCTGAGTAATGATCCTTCATACATCAAAAAAAATACAAATCTAAGGGATAAACAAATAAAAAACAGATTTGAAAAAGAAAAGGCTCAGGAAAGAAAAAGAGTGAAAGTGTAAGAAAGAAAGAGAAAAAGAAGGAAAACTGAAAAAGAATGACTTCCAACTTTCTTTGGTACAGATATAAATAAATATATATATCAAACTCTTACTCTAAGATTAACATTTGCCTACATTATTTCCATAATCCCTTATTTAATCATCAAAGCCCAGATCAACTTTTAATTTCAGTTTCTGACAAAAAATCCAGTAATGGTTCTTATTGCTTTAATCACTATTTGTTAACTAAACCACAACTGATTTATTTAATTGCACCAAATCTAAATAAAACATAAATGGAAAATCCTAAACTCTAGTATAGACCCATGCTTCTCAACTTTGGCAACTTTAAAATGTATGGACTTCAATTCCTAGAATTCCCCAGGCAGCACGAAGTTCGCCCATCTTAAACTTGCCAAGACTGAAAAAAGATGATCTACCAATAGAGATTTTTCCATTCCTCTTTTACTGGTTCCCACTTACTTATGAGCAATCATAATGCAAAATTCCCATTTCAAACTTACCCCACAGTAATGATCATGCAAAAATCCCAACTATTTTCCTGCACCACCCTGGAAGCCAAAATGGGGCATGGGGGGGGAGTGTGATGCCCTCCCGTGCCCTGTTTTGGGCCTGAAAGGCCTCCTGTACCACCCTGGAAGCCAAAACAGGATACACGGGGGGGGAGACTCCTGGGAGGGGGAAAGAGCAGGGCCAGCTAGATTAGCTGGTTCTCCAAACTGGTAAAAAAATTAACAACCGGTTCACTTGAATCGGTGCAAACGGCTGCAGCCCACCTCTAATTATAAGTGATCTAATAGTGCATAAATACAGTTATAAAAATAAATGGATTTTAAAAAACCTGGAAGATACCAGGGAGTGAGTTAACACTTCTCTGAGGATGTATACTGTACATACTGTATATATCAATATCATTATTCCCAATATGCACAGTCAAGGATGTGTATATTTGATTATGATGATGAAATCAAATCTGCCCAAATCAAACCATTACAGTCTCATTATTGAAAGTTATGGACTTAATCTACCATGCTGGTCCAGTGTGGGTTGGTAAGTGGATATATTTATAAGCCATCTTGTCCCTTACAGGAGACTGGTTCTCAGATAGATCGAGTAAAAGTTAGAATTGGAGATATATTAATTTAAATTTCCATGTTCATTGTACCATTGAATAAACTAGAGCAGGGGTGTCAAACTGGCAGCCTGGGAGTCGAATGCATCACATGCAGGCCACGCCCACCCCAGCTCCACAAAGTGAAAAAAGTCACAAAACGTCAGGTGACGGCAACTTGATGCCAAAAGTTTGACACTCTTGAACTAGGGGAAAGGAAGAAGATTGAGCTCATAGCATTTTCTTTATATGTACACACTCAAGGAACACAAACATAAAAACAAAGCTAAAAATATTTAAAATGTTTAATGAAAATATAAAATAAAATTTAAAACAAATTGTAGTTTCCTGCAGCATTATCCAAATTCTACTTGATATGTATCTTTGGCATTCTTAATTAATTCTACCTAATCCCTGAATGAAATGACAGGAGTAAACTGCAGAGACGGGGGCTGTATATCATTCAGACCTATCTTGATCATAAATGGAAGAACCTGAGAAAACATCAGATAATATAATGAAAGAAACTGAAGATAAGAAAGATAACTTTTCTGACATGGTTCTGCAATATATGCCACTAAGCAGCAGACAAGTAATAAACTTGTGAATTTAATACCATCTGCTTTAAAAAAAAAAAAAGACAAGAAAGTCCCCTAGTTAACATAGAACCAAGATGTTATTTAACATGCTATTGGAACTATCCAGTTTTAAGTCAAGTTCATATTTCAAACTATCAGCAATATTAACAAAGAAGGTTGAACATCCAACTTTAATATTGCATTTGATTTACTGGAATTTTTCAGAATAAATGCAAAAATAACACCGAGTGTATATTTATCCCCAAAACAATAAAGGACATTAAAAGATTCATAGAACTGCTGTGGATAGCATAATATTCTGTTTCCCAGTCTTCAATGTAATTTTTCATTCTCAAACTTCACCCTGATTAATGTTGTGCTAGAACCAATTTTAACAATGGTTTCACTACAATAATACATTCTTTGCTATCTTCTTATAAAATTATGCCCTGGCTGACCATGCACACTATACCATAATATGATTAATCTGCTATATGGAAACAGCCCTTGTAGTTTGTTAACAAGTTAATGTATTGAACAGTTGTGATTTATTCATCAAACACAATTGAACTAAGGTACTATGTTGAATGAATCTAGTCTACAAATTGAGCCACAGGGTATCTTCCCTAATAACTCTGTAGAGTGGAAAGAGGCTCTTATGCTGCAAATATTATAAACTGCAGACCCCAAAACCATCCAGAAATAAAAGCCTACTGAAGAAATAAATAAAAGCTGGAAAAAAATTAGAAGAATACCATGCAATACAACCTTAACCTTAAGTATTGGAAGAAAATATTCTGTATGCAAATATTATTGTTTGCCAGGTAAATAGCTAATATGAAATATTAACTATAATTTTGCATAAGTGCATACAATAATTTATGTATATTACATACCGTAGAATAATTATAAAAGTACTTACTATGATTGTGATAGCATATTTCTATGCTATCACAAAGTGTTTCAACATTAAAAAGAACAACCAGGGGATATAATATCGAAAGACTTGACATGATGTGATTTAGCAGATTATATTATAAATGATTAAAAATAGAACACTACCTGAAGAAAGTAACAAAAAATTGCACCAGATCCATGATGGTGTTGTGCTGTGAAAACGCAATCTGAAGAGACAGAGAAAGAAATGTGAAATAATGTTAAGACCAATTCTACTAAGAATGTTATAAACATAAATACTCTGGGTAACATATAAATGATACAAATTCTCTTATAAAATCAAACTATTGTCCTTAGTATTCATTAGCTTGCAACATATATAGTATATAACAACATTTTTATTTAGACACCCAGCCCATTCATCTGCCTTGTACAAAGTCTGAAACCCTAGACTAACAGGTGGATACATTTGGAAATATGAAGATAGTAATGATTTCTGAACACAGGGCATCAAATTCCTGAAGTATCAGAAGAGATGGCACATTGTTTAATGATGTTTACTTCTCCCAAAAAAGAAACTGATACCATTTTTCTAGTTTGTCTCCCAAAAGATATGTCCAACAGTACTTCATGAATCTCACCATGTGGAAGGTAGCAGATACGGAATTAATCACACCTCTTTAATATAAGTAGATGAGCTCAGTATTTTCATAATAAGAGAACAAAGAACTTTCTGGTTGATCAAGTAAAACTGATAAAAACAGAAGACAATGTAGGTAGCGCAAGGTTGAATGGAGTCTTTGATGCTGTATCGGCTTGTTTTCTTCTTGGTAGTGCATTGATTAGGGTTTTGTTTTTGGCTTGATTGGCTGTCTGGTGTTAATCCCTGCTTATCTGGAGGTTGGCTACTGGAGAGAATGTATTCTGGTCTTTTTATGTCCTTCTCAGCTTTTTATTGTGTGTTTTGAAGTGTGAAAATGTCTTTTATCTCTGTGTCTATTGATGCTGATTGGTAAATGGATATACTAGAGTGGTAAGGAAATACATTAAGCAGAAGAATAGCAATAACAACATTCTGAAACATCTTTTCATGCCATCTAACTAAACTGAGGCTTGGATCGTCACTAAATCATAGAATAATTAACTCCACCTTTAGTATTATCTATTTCAAAAAATATTTAGGATTTTTATTATTGTTGTTTATCAGCATATGCTGCCCCTAAGGTCAATCTTGTTTAGGGTTTTAGAGTACATATGCAGAATTTTCAGTAATTATACTTCCAAATGCTTTGTCCATAAGTATTTTATAAATCGTTTAGGGAAGCATATTTTCCCTTAAATCTGATGGCCTCTTTGGACTTAACAAAAGCTAAGCTCTTGTTATTGAACATTACAGTGTCATAAATACTCACATTGCTTTTTTTCTTGCTATGTCAACACATTTTCTTGCCTGCCCACATAATATTCAGAAATTAATACAATTTTAAGATGTTGTGTGTGAAATGCTATGCCTTCCAGTATATACTTTATTATGATAGTTATTTTTTATTCCTATTAGTGGTTTTACTGAAACAGACAATAAATGTATTTCTGTAATTTTAATTTACATGATGAATAGTATATGATGCTAGAAGCTATAAACAATATAATCTTCAACTCTTACTAATAAATTGGCAATAATTTATTTTACATGCAACCTTGAAGTCTACATAAGCACTTTCAGAACTACTATATGGATGGCAACGAACTTGAAATATAAGTCAAAGTAGATAAATAAGAAATAAGAAACAAATAAAGGCTAATTAAATACCCAGTTTAATTGCAGCATATGCTGAAAATAAATATATTCTAATAGCATTATTTCTTTTTCAAAGCTGTACACTTCTCTTCAAACAGTGATTGTAGGAGGAAAGTTATGTAGTCTATGGTGGCAAAAAATCAGAAGACTGATAATGGCTTTGACATCAGTCATCAAAAATAACAACATAGAAAGATATGATAGATCAATTTCTGCAATGGGCAATCAGTCACCAATGGAAAGTTCATAAGCACTTTCCTAATCTAAATTACTACTTCCTAATGTAAATTACTACTCATTACTTAAGGCACCGTACAATTGTTGACAAGTAGCCATATTTTTTATCTCCATAAACTAATTATTTATTAATACTGATCATGTTGGTGTTTATCAGTACTTTCTTCAGTAGCAAATTCATGGCTTTGTTATGCAAAATTGATCCTTTATTTGACCACTTGGGTTCTTTCCTCCATACGATTCTTATATTTCATTATATAATCTTACATATATTTATTATTATTTATATTTTTCACAACCATGAGATACTTAACAATGTAATCAAGAAAAGAGTGTCAACTTCCACCACAAAAAGAAAAAGTAACCTTTGTATTAAAGGGGGAAAATCCTTTATCTAAGACTTTGACAATTTTTTGCCATCCTACATATACTATTTTGGACTACATGAACTTCTGATATAGCATTTAGGATAACTACTAACTTTGTCAAAGCACTAATTTTCTTATATAAAATGGAAAGGAAAATATAAGCAATTTTCAGCTGATTCTTGTTATAGTGACACTATAACAAGTTCTTTGTTGTCCTACCAATTACAAAGATTTGCTATTTTTTTTAAACAAAATAGTTAATCAGCAGCAGAATGTTACCACGTTTGGGTAATGAAATGTCTGCAAGAAAACAAGGAAGTTAACCGAGCACCAAGAACCCCTCAAAATATTGGTGACTATGCATTAATATTGTACATGTATTGTTTGTATCATATATACTTTTGTGCATTGAAGAGATGCACAGACTCTAAATGTAGTGTACTTCCCAGCTTCCTTCAACATTTATTGCATTGGGTGGAGTGGTGGGGAAGCATAGTTTGGCATCTGCAAAATACTGTTTCTATCCTGGATTTCCACTCCAATAAAGAGCATTGAAAGAATATCTGAATGACAGTGAAAAAGATGCACTGAAGCTACTATAACATGAAGGCTTATTGAGTACTGGAAAGATTAAATTGGTCAAACTGCTCTACAAGAAATGGCAAATGAAGAATGAGGGTACATATGCTGAAAAAGGAGTGAGGAAGATGAAAAAATCCACAAACATGGCAACAATATAACAGATATAATATAGTTTTTGTTCCATAAAAATTATATGAATGTGTCTGTAAAGAGTCTAAGAACAGAGCTTGACTTAAGGAAAATTTTAATATGGAGAGATAATTGCTGTTCAATCGTGTCCAATTCTCAGAAACTCCTTGGATTAACCTCTGAAGTTTTGCCAAGATTTCCAAATTCGTTTGCCATTGCCTCCTTCCTAGGGCTGTGAGATGATGACTAGTTCAAGGTCACCAGCTGGCTTTGTACCTAAGGCAGAACTAGAACTCATGGTCTCCATTTTCCAGGCTTTTGCCTTAAGTACTATTGGCATGTATGTATGTATGTACATGCACCCACATATATGTAATATATATGGTGAAAGATTATAAAAATATTAAAATACAATATAACAAGACCAAAAAAATAATAAAAAGTTGGAGTTGGCAACATCGTAAAGCATAATAAAGAAACAAAAGCAACACTACCAATTGGCTGGATTTACAAATTTAACAATCTTAATTATAGTTTCATGGCTATTGTGATGATATCTTACAACTTGATCACTTGATTAAGATTATTCTAACAGGCTCTTAGTGAGATACCTCTGAAAAGGGTCAGGAATTGCATAGCTACAGAATATGAACCTCACCAATTTAGAATTTTACGCCAAGTGTTACAATCACTGAACTGTCATGCTTCATTCAAAATACAAGTTTTTAAGTAATGCCCACTTAGGAACAGTCTTGTCAAAACTGAATCTGGAGTTCACATTAGAGGTACTGCAAGCTCCAACCTTATTGCATTTTGCAACACATTTTGCAATGCTGTAAAACAAATGACTTTGACCTGAAGGGATTATAGTTGGCATTATAGATCAGTTATGATCTCAGTTTGGTTTCTGTAGGTTTATTTTTATACTTTTTTAATGTTTGTTTTGTTTTGTTTCGTGCTGTCCTGACTCCCAGAGATCTTTAAAACCAATAGACTTAAATATCTTGCAAATATTGGAAGATAAACAGATATCATTAACAGACCCAGTGACAACTAGCTTACTTAAAATATATTTCTTGACCTTGACCACTTCTATTTATAAATATAAAATATATGTTGCCTGAAACTATATAAGTGATTATCTAATATTAATGTGTAACCATTGGCAGAGGTAATATAATTATTTTAAAGAAATATAATAAAAATAAATGGACCTTATTGGCTAGATAATGAATCATAATGTTAAATAGTGCAAAGAATAAAGAGATTTATTCCAAAATTCAATAATTTGTGTAAAAACGTATTATTAGAGAAACTATACTCTAGGGGGAAAAAGATGGAAAATTATTTGTTTATTTACTTATTTATTCCAGTTCATATGCCACATTAATTTGGAGACTGAGAAATACAACAAGCCAAAAGTAGGTTTAAAGGGATTAGAAATAATACAAACAACTATAGCATCCAACTTGATGTGTCTATATATTGGAGTTCTCAGATTTTCCATCTCACAGGGTCTCCTGAAGACCCTGATAATGAAATACAAGGAACACATATTTTTCAGCATCTGTGCCTGTGAGACAGCCAAGTCCTTCTCTTCCAGGAATGCCCCCATGGAAAGTGATTTGAAATACTGCATATGAAAGGACAAAAGGAACACCACTAGGCTGCATAGAACAGCCAAGCAGCAGGAACATTTTGTTTGGGAAATACAAGAAAACCAAAATCATCAGACACCTCATTTTAGTGATATGCCAACTCTCAAACATTCTTTTTTTCATTCGCAAATAAATGTAATAGGGTTTTGTTTTTTGTTTTTTGTTTTTTTTTGCATATGCCTACTTTAAATGTAAAAATAAACAAATACCAAGGCTAGATACTTCAGTTTGACATTAATTTTTGTCTTCATAGATTCCAATTACCAGATTTAGTATTCATTAAGTCTTTGGCAGTAGTTCCTGATTTAAAATTATAAAATTAAAATTTTACAACTTTAAAAATGCTGATTAGCTGCTGCTTTTGTATTCACTGAATGGATGTTCTGTGGGATTTCTTTAAAACAAAAAAGAAATAAAGTAGACCTGTTTACTGCATGTTTGTATATGGGGTGGAT